GCTCAAGTGAGAGTAGATGACCTCTGACCTGACGCATGATGTAGGAGCAGCGTAAGCTCAAGTGAGAGTAGTTGACCTCTGACCTGACGCATGATGTAGGAGCAGCGTAAGCTCAAGTGAGAGTAGATGACCTCTGACCCGACGGATGATGTAGGAGCAGCGTAAGCTCAAGTGAGAGTAGATGACCTCTGACCTGACGCATGATGTAGGAGTAGCGTAAGCTCAAGTGAGAGTAGATGACCTCTGACCTGACGCATGATGTAGGAGTAGCGTAAGCTCAAGTGAGAGTAGATGACCTCTGACCCGACGCATGACGTAGGAGTAGCGTAAGCTCAAGTGAGAGTAGATGACCTCTGACCCGACGCATGACGTAGGAGTAGCGTAAGCTCAAGTGAGAGTAGATGACCTCTGACCTGACGCATGACGTAGGAGTAGCGTAAGCTCAAGTGAGAGTAGATGACCTCTGACCTGACGCATGACGTAGGAGCAGCGTAAGCTCAAGTGAGAGTAGATGACCTCTGACCTGACGCATGATGTAGAAGTAGCGTAAGCTCAAGTGAGAGTAGATGACCTCTGACCTGACGCATGATGTAGGAGCAGCGTATGCTCAAGTGAGAGTAGATGACCTCTGACCTGACGCATGATGTAGGAGCAGCGTATGCTCAAGTGAGAGTAGATGACCTCTGACCTGACGCATGATGTAGGAGCAGCCAAAGTCCTTTTAGGCAAGTCATGCCACTCGGCCGCCATCTTGGCAACGCCTCCGGGCAGCTATTTCCGACTAACAAGACCAGGCTCCTATCTAAATGAATGGGCAGAGAGTCAGAACTGCACTTTCACTGGTCATCGGGACATAAAAACTGCATGTATAGAAACAGCAGTAAAATATGATAAAAATCGCTGAAAAAGTTTGATGACTTTGCCCCAAAAGAAGGTTTAAAACACCTTTTTCCCCACAGGTTATACTTTTACTACGCATGCGCAAGGGTTCACGACACCAACTTCATTTACGTCTCTATCCAGAATGCCGGTGTCGTGCTCTACAGCACATACTTAGAATGTAAGGTAACATATTTGTGGTCGATATAAAATGCTTTAACTACTGTAACAAGGTTCAGATGTTATGGAAAGAAGGAGGCAGGAACCGGCGAACATTCAACCATTTTAATAAATAAACAAATCCAAAAATGGAAGTATGCCAGCAGCCCCGGATGAGCTGCTGGCCACACAAAACAGAAACAAAACACAACATAAAATCAGGCCTGTTCCTCTCTCGATCTCCATGTCGTCGCTCCACCTTTTATGCCTCCGCTCCTCCGTGAGAGATACGAGACGATGCGTCGCGCAGGTGCCGCTCATCAGTAATCACGCCACCGGCCTCACGCAGCTCTCTCACGTCCCTCGTCCTCGGCCTGCTCGCCACAACTACCTTGGTAGTCCGGTGTTTTCGCGTTGTTATCACCCTCTTCCATGTGGATTCCATCTGATCTTGCACACAACAGTGACAACACCATGGCACAAAACAACTCGCTGTCGCCAAATCGTCTCCGCTGTCGCAAACCTCAACTGTGCGCATGCGTCAGTGGAACCAGACGATAGGCTTAAATGTTTCCCGGCTTGACTGTTAAAAGCAGACGATTGGCTTTCCAGCGGGAGGGGCGGGACATATGCATACAACCGCCATCTTTGACGTTACAGGTTTTCCCTATATAGTTGTATTGAGGATTGAGGAAGTGGCATGTCTCTATATAAATAGTCTCTGGAGCAGCGTAAGCTCAAGTGAGAGTAGTTGACCTCTGACCCGACGCATGACGTATGAGTAGCGTAAGCTCAAGTGAGAGTAGATGACCTCTGACCTGATGCATGATGTAGGAGCAGCGTAAGCTCAAGTGAGAGTAGATGACCTCTGACCTGACGCATGATGTAGGAGCAGCGTAAGCTCAAGTGAGAGTAGATGACCTCTGACCTGACCCATGATGTAGGAGTAGCGTAAGCTCAAGTGAGAGTAGATGACCTCTGACCTGACGCATGATGTAGGAGCAGCGTAAGCTCAAGTGAGAGTAGATGACCTCTGACCTGACGCATGATGTAGGAGCAGCGTAAGCTCAAGTGAGAGTAGATGACCTCTGACCCGACGCATGACGTATGAGTAGCGTAAGCTCAAGTGAGAGTAGATGACCTCTGACCTGATGCATGACGTAGGAGTAGCGTAGGAGTAGCTTAAGCTCAAGTGAGAGTAGATGACCTCTGACCCGACGCATGATGTAGGAGCAGCGTAAGCTCAAGTGAGAGTAGATGACCTCTGACCTGACGCATGATGTAGGAGCAGCGTAAGCTCAAGTGAGTGTAGTTGACCTCTGACCCGACGCATGATGTAGGAGCAGCGTAAGCTCAAGTGAGAGTAGATGACCTCTGACCTGACGCATGATGTAGGAGCATCGTAAGCTCAAGTGAGTGTAGATGACCTCTAACCTGACCCATGATGTAGGAGCAGCGTAAGCTCAAGTGAGAGTAGTTGACCTCTGACACATGATGTAGGAGCAGCGTAAGCTCAAGTGAGAGTAGTTGACCTCTGACCCGACGCATGACGTATGAGTAGCGTAAGCTCAAGTGAGAGTAGATGACCTCTGACCTGATGCATGATGTAGGAGCAGCGTAAGCTCAAGTGAGAGTAGATGACCTCTGACCTGACGCATGATGTAGGAGCAGCGTAAGCTCAAGTGAGAGTAGTTGACCTCTGACCCGACGCATGACGTATGAGTAGCGTAAGCTCAAGTGAGAGTAGATGACCTCTGACCTGACGCATGACCTCTGATCTGACGCATGATGTAGGAGTAGCGTAAGCTCAAGTGAGAGTAGATGACCTCTGACCTGAGGCATGATGTAGGAGTAGCGTAAGCTCAAGTGAGAGTAGATGACCTCTGACCTGAGGCATGATGTAGGAGTAGCGTAAGCTCAAGTGAGAGTAGATGACCTCTGACCTGAGGCATGATGTAGGAGTAGCGTAAGCTCAAGTGAGAGTAGATGACCTCTGACCTGAGGCATGATGTAGGAGTAGCGTAAGCTCAAGTGAGAGTAGATGACCTCTGACCTGAGGCATGATGTAGGAGTAGCGTAAGCTCAAGTGAGAGTAGATGACCTCTGACCCGACGCATGACGTAGGAGTAGCGTAAGCTCAAGTGAGAGTAGATGACCTCTGACCTGACGCATGACGTAGGAGTAGCGTAAGCTCAAGTGAGAGTAGATGACCTCTGACCTGACGCATGATGTAGGAGTAGCGTAAGCTCAAGTGAGAGTAGATGACCTCTGACCTGACGCATGACCTCTGACCTGACGCATGATGTAGGAGTAGCGTAAACTCAAGTGAGAGTAGATGACCTCGGACCTGACGCATGACGTAGGAGTAGCGTAAGCTCAAGTGAGAGTAGATGACCTCTGACCTGACGCATGACCTCTGATCTGACGCATGATGTAGTAGTAGCGTAAACTCAAGTGAGAGTAGATGACCTCTGACCCGACGCATGACCTCTGACCTGACGCATGATGAAGTCGACGCCTCGCGGTTCAAACAACAAACTCAAGCTCCTCCCACATTTCTCTTTAAAAATTCTCCTTTTACACTTCTAATTCGTGACTGGTGTTTTGTTTTGCTCTATCCTCTGCGCTTTCACATTCGTCAATGCGGCATGCATCGGGTCATAGGTCATGTGTTGGGTCAGAGGTCACGCATCAGGTCAGAGGTCACTCTTCCGCCGGAACTAGACTCGCGTGAAGCCATTACAGGAAGCCAGTGATTATAGTTTATAAAGTTATAAATATGGATATTTTTCTTACAACAAACGCTACTCCTATATCCTACTTCATGCATCGGGTCAGAGGTCATGCGTCAGGTAAGAGGTCATGCGTCGGGTCAGAGGTCACTCTTCCGCCGGAACTCGATTCGTGTACAGCCGTTAACGGAAGCCAGTAATTCTAGTTTATATTATAAAGTTATAAATATGGATATTTTTCTTCAGAAGGCCTTTATTAACCCCTGGACTGGATTAGTCGTATGGCTTCTAAATCTCACCCCCCATTCTCTGCCATTATAAAGCTGGGAAGAGCCTGGATATTTTCTAATATAACTGATATGATTGTGTTTGGCTGAAAGAAGAAAGTCTTACACACCTAGGATGGCTTGAGGGTGAGTAAATCATGGGATAATTTTTATTTTTGGGTGAACTATCCCTTTAAATTACCTCATGTCTTAAAGCACATAATATTACAATAATAATGAACGTAAACAACTTACAGAGCTCTTACTTTTTTTTGGTCCTGAGACTTCCACAGAAGATATATATATATACATGTAATAATATTTAGACCAATTCTATTATTGATTGCTATCAGGATGTGAAGAGAGTTGCAACCAGATATTAACCTACCTTTAATATGAACTGACAACTTCTAAAGTATTTTTTTAATCTTAGTTAATATTAATACATTATTAAAATCAAAAGATGTATGTTAATATCATTGAATAGACCTGAGCTGACATGAACTAACAAGAAAACATTGTATTTTTGTTTATTAGCTAATGTTGGCTAAGATTATAAAATACAGTAACATATAAATTTCTTATGGTTAGTTCATATTACCTAAAGGGACCTTATTATAAAGTGTTACCACTTTCTTTATTTATAAAAATGAGTCCAGAATGGCGATAAATTGGTATGTTTACTGTGAAGCTCTTTCACGTTATTGAGCAGCTGGTTAGTAAGAGCTGGATCTCCAAACCTACACCAGAAGTGCTTTCCAAGCCTGCCTATGATGCCCACAACTACTGTCTACCCTGAGAAAAGGTACTGTAGTACTGTACTATGGTACTGTGGAGAAAAGCACCAGGAATGAGCTTTCTGGCGCAGGCCTAGCTAACGCGGCTAAAGGCTAGTCGAGAGTATATAAACAAAGCGCGCGTTTGGCGTCACATCAACACACAACACTCATGTGAAATCACAAACCTCTTAAAGTCTCTCATAAGCCTTCGTCTCGCAGGAGTAGACATGCTTTATTATCGCCGGATTATGTCATAAAACGAGCAGAACACCGTCAGATTGGGGAGGATCGGGGTGAAGAGCCGGTGACGTCACCCGTGACGCCATAGACCTGCAGCAACCGCAGTGGCGCTCACACACTCACATAACATAACACAACACAACATTATTAATATCAATTTAAACCTGTCTTAGTCATAAATAACACCATTTTAACTCTAAGCATATTGAAGTTGATTAATAATAATAATAATTTGAAACAACATATCAGCGTTTTGTCCTCCGGCCCACGTAAGCCATTTTCATCATACAACCGTTTCTATACATGATTGTGTCCGTTTTCTTGTACATTGTTGGGTATATCAGTAATAATTCTCTCTAATGTATATATTTTTTAGGGCTGTCAAACGATTCATCGCGATTAATCGCATCCAAAATAAAGTTTGTGTTTACATAATATATGTGTGTGTACTGTGTATAATTATTTTTAATACATAAATACCCACACATGCATGTGTATTTAAAAAATATTTGTAAACACAAACTTTTATTTTGGATGCGATTAATCGTGATTAATCGTTTGACAGCCCTAATTTTTTGCAATTATATCATTTATTTTAACAATTATAATCAAGGTTTTTAGCTTGTCCCCCTTGTTGTTGTTTTTTGGACCTAACCTTTAAATGAAAGTTGGACAAATTAAATGACATCATATCATAAAGTAGTTATCTCCTCTTTTGGAGGGAAAACAATGTGGAAAAGTGAGTGAGATCCTTGATTATTTTAACCGTCTATTTTTACCAATTTTATCTTTCAAATTTGATGTGGCCAACCTCAGTATGTCCACCCTGTTAAGGGAAATATGGATAAAGTAGAAAAATCATACTTTTAAAATTTACAGTTTTAAAGAATTCTTTATTTGATCTGAAATTATTTTGTCCGCCCTATTATCAGTTTGTCCATCCTGTTAAGTAGTTTTTGACAATAATTGAACAAAATCAGCAAAAAAAACACAAAAAAAAAAAACACACACACTAATAATTCAGTGATAATTCAGTAATTCATAATTATGACCTGGTACGTCATAATTATGATATGTGAGTCTGATGTCATGATAAAAAGTAAAAATTACGACTTAATGTCATAATAATGATTTTAAGTCATAATTTGGATTTAGTATCTTGTAATTTGCGACTTTTATGTAATTAATTTATGACTTAAGCCATAATTTCGACTTTTTATTTCATAAATATGATTTACCAAAGCACTTGAGCACTATAAATAGGCCTTTCTTTACCGTATCTTCTACTATATTTATTTTATCTATTACTGTTTACCCCTAAGAATCAAAATAAGTTTCACGCAGTTTCTGATTCTGAAAATATGGCTTTTCTAAACAAAGTGTCACACATAATATATATATATATATTCAAAATGATGTTGCAAAGGATTCGCTACTTTCATTTATCAGAACTGGGACATTTGGTCTCACTTAATTGTTAGGGTTTAAATATCCCCAGGGCACTGAAATAAAAAAAAATATTTATAATAATGCTGCGCATGGATGAATCGTTTAATAAACACGGCAACATTCAGTAAAATAAAAACAAAACAAGAATTGTCCACTTTGATTTCATAGTGACTTTAAAACTTCTACAAAATAATGTTTCCTCGTTACGAACGTATAAATGTAATATTGATCAACAATTCTAAATAAAATTAATTATTATATAAAAAAATACACAAAACAATAATTTAACCGTTGACGTATTAATGAGATCCTATTGCAGTAAAGGAAAACGCCCAACGACGTTTCGAGCAACCAATTAGAAAGGTAGGACGGCTGCGGTTGGCCAATCAGAGCGCAGGATCAAGCATGGAACAGCTGGGCGCGTCCAATCAGCGCCGCGCCGGTTGTCGGAGTCTTATGTGAGGAAAGGCTGAAGTGAAAACAACCGTGGTCAGGGTGGGACTCTGAAGGCCGACGGCTTCTCGTTTCCTCACAGGATTCCCGTACCTAATTACTTCAAGATCCCTGGCCACATGTACGTTTTAAAGTAATCAATCGATTTCGGGTGGATATTCGTGGAAAGTTGGGAGAAGTTAGATCAGAAATCCGTGTGAAAATCGAGTTAAAAAAAAAGCAGACATGGATGAAAAGGCGTTCACGAAAGAGCTGGATCAATGGATCGAACAGCTAAACGAGTGCAAACAGCTCTCAGAAAGCCAAGTCAAGAGCCTCTGTGAGAAGGTATGTATGTGTAATACACCACCAACATCGTGTTTCGGTGTTTTATTTCATTTTTTTCCCTTTAGCCGCGTTAGCTGCTAAAATACAAGATGGCGGATTTTATAACCGCCGCAACACTCACAAGAAACTCCGATTGTTTTTGATTTAGTAACACAAGCCGACATGTCTTCCGTTAATCTTTAATGAAATCACGTGTGAATGTTGAATCGGTCTGTG